GATCTCTCCTTTTAAAATAGAGTAAAGGAAACGACAGCAAGTACCTTCCCTTGGAATCAAAGAATGCCCTCAGAGATTTTGAGGGACTTCCCTAAGCCATGAAGTGTATTTGTAATCCATTGGGAAACAACCATGAGTAGACCGTAGTTACTAAGGGGAGAGCTTGAGGTCAACCCATCTTTAAGTTATAGCACTGAGCTGAAGCAAATAGATTTTGTACTCCTAAGACCCAGCCCCCAAACTGAAAATTGCTGTTAATAACATTGCTATTGGCTGGAGGACCTGGTCTTCTAATAGCTTCTTAGGTTAAAAAACAAAACAAAACAAAAAACCAAGGTTCAGCACCTTGGCCACAGGCTGCTGAGTAGCGCCTAGGTGTAGGCACCCAGATTCCTCACCCACAGAAACTGGGCTAAGTGTTTCAAGGCAGCTTTTAAAATGTTGCTGCTCCATAGTCTTATCTGTGTGCTAAGACCTGAACAATTACAGCCACCAAATTCATTTGAATTGTTATCATGAGCATATGTGTCTTGAGTTCACATTACCTAAGAGGCCAGGTGGCAAGATGATTAACTTGAGCAGCTTTCCTAAGTAAATCTCTTGGTTCCAGATACATTGTGTCTGGAGGGGGCTATGGTAGTTAAAAGCAGGAAGAACTGGAAACTAAGTGCTCACGTGTGTATGATTTGAAAAATGGTCCTTCCCCGCCTGATTGCATCACACATCATGGACTCAGGAGACATTCCATTACTAAATGGGTTCTTGTGCCCATAATGATACTTTGATTAACTGAAATATACATACTTTCCAAAAATTTTGTTTCCAAAACATTTGTTTTAGGTCAGGAAGTCAGCACTCCCTGATCTGTTAAATGTTCAGGTCTGGTATTACTTTGGATATGTGTTGAAACAGGTGCCATAATACAGCACCAATTCAGCAATGTCCGACTTTGATCTCATTCTCGACAGATGGCTCTCATTTTGCACTTCAAGACAGGTCAGAAAGGGGGAGAATGAAGACACTCCTGCCCTCTTGGTAATGGACTCCATATTATATTCTTGCTTCTACTCCCACCTGACCATATCTAGCCACAAGGGAGGTGGAGAAATTGCATGACCATGTGCCCACGTAGAAAGTCTATTGAAGAAGAGAAGAGAACGGGCTTAGAATGGCATTGCCCCCTCGTAGTTCCAGATACTAGCGAGGGTGAGGCAAGATCACTTGTTGACCAGCCTGAGTAACAGAGAACCCAAAAGAAAGCAAGACAGATACATTGGAGAGGAGCCACAGTTTTCTTCTTGTGGTTTACCACTTCAGACATTCTAATTAATAATTCAAAATGCTGAGTTAGAAGCCCATTGTGTTCCTTGCATAAAGAAAAATGTTAAAAACAGAAAGTCATCTTATTCCCTCTGTTTTTGGATAGCATCGAAACTAGGTGTCTTTAAGAAAACTTGTCATGAGGGACTAGATGGTGTAGTGGTCAAAAGCACTTGTTGCTCTTTGGATGGAAGCTTCACCCCAGCCCCAAGCGTCCATATATTCAAAGAGTCTGGGATGTTCAGATGGAAGCTTCGCTCCAGCCCCTGGTATCCATATATCCATCCAAAGAGTCTGGAATGTTCTGGTGGAAGTTCCATTCCAAGCCCCCTCCCCTGGAGTTACCTCAGTCCAGACTCCACCCCTGAGAAAACCCACCAAACGATGATCCCCCCTCCCCAGAGATGCTCAAGACCACTCCCACAGGGCATTTAAACTGCCCCCAGAGGAAAAATATGTGGCTTTCCAGTCTTCCTTTCCCGTCTCCTCTCTGTGGGGCTGGAAAGCCATCTGGGATTGTTTGTATCCATTAAACCTGGGCTTTTTAAAAATTTGGTTACCCGGGCGATGGTGGCGCACGCCTTTAATCCCAGCACTCGGGAGGCAGAGGCAGGTGGATCTCTGTGAGTTCGAGACCAGCCTGGTCAACAGAGCTAGTTCCAGGACAGGCTCCAAAGCCACGGAGAAACCCTGTCTCGTAAAACCAAAAAAAAAAAAAAAAAAATTTGGTTTGATTTGGATTATTGTGTCAGCGGGGAGGATTATTGGGATGCAGAAACTTTTCAGTTGCTCTTACAGAGGACCTTTGTTTGACTCCCAGCCCCTACACCAGATGGGTCATAACCGCCTGTAAATCCAGTCCCAGGGGCTCCAGTGCCTTCATCTGGTCTCTTTGGGCACCTGCACACATACGATGTATATACACACATAAACGTGAAAATAAAAATGAAAAATAAAAGAATTCTGAAATTCTTATCACCTAGTGATAATGATATTAGGATTTCCGTGTCTTTGCTAACATAGACATCCAAAACAGCAGTGGTGATTTCCATTATATGGCTATGATAAACGGTCAGTATTATTGTGATGTACCTAGAGTAGGGATATGACTTTTAACCTGTCATATAATTGAAAGAAAGAAATTGGAAAATTTAGATTTTGGATTCCACCTCTTAGCCTGACCCTGAGCATATAGAGAAACCAGTCTTGAAAAACAAAACAAAATTACATTTGCTGTTTACAACCCTTGCCCTCATTTTAAGGTACTTAGGAAAATCAGTTACTCCTTTTTATATCTCTTCAAGTACTCTTGGGTACCCCCTAAAATATGAGCATCGAGAACAAGATACAAAAAGTTCTCTGTCTCATGGGGTCTATACTAATGTGCAGTCTATATCAAAATCTGAGCACAGCCAGGGGGTTGTGGTGGTGCACACCTTTAATTCCAGCACCCAGGAGGCAGAGGCAGGCAGATCTCTTAGTTTGAGGCTAGCCTGGTCAACAGAATGAGTTCCAGGACAGCCATCACTACACAGTGAAACTCTTGTCTCGAGAAACCAAAAAATAAATAAATAAATAAATAAATAAATGGAAATCTGAGCACTAGCTGCTAGAATATATATATATATATAGATAGATAGATAGATAGATAGATAGATAGATATAGATAGATAGATGGTTACTGTCAAGCAGGGCCTACCTAACTATCCATAACATTCCCAGGTCTTCCAGATCTCCCATCATCTTCTCTGGCCAGTGTGAGGGAGGAAGTAGGAGACCACATTGTCAGGTGGGAATATAGTGTCTAGCCTGAACTACTACTGTTTTCTCTCCTCTATTCACTGACAGCCCTGTCAGCTCTCCCTCTGCTACTATGCCAATCAGCATTGCCTGGTTTTATCTTGTCCCTTCTATTTGTTGTAATCTCTAACTGGGAAGTAGGAAAACAGATTTGCAGAAGTCATTATTTAAAAAAAAAAAAACCTATTGTTAAAAGCCACTGTTCCATTTCAAGATCCAAGAAAAACTTCCTGTTTTGTTAAGGCCCTTCTTAGGAGCGGAAACCGGTGCTCTCAAAAGAAAACCACAATAAATAATTTCACTGATGTGTTCTGTGTGTTTAGCAAGACTTAAATCCCAAGAGAAATGTGGCGGATAAGAAGGGAAGACTTGAGATACAGACCACCGACTTCCGTTCCCCCTCTGCCACTCCCTGAAGGGACAGTGACAGGTCCAGAAGCAGAAGGGTATTTAGGACAGTCTGGAAAGGTAACCAGGCAAAGCCTCCCTTAGAAACTGTGCGGCTCGGTTTAGCCTACTCTTTCCTGTAGGACCAGAAGTTTGGCTCCTCACAAGTTTGTATCTAGCTTGCTTTTGTTTTGTGCCCCATTCTGACCCACCGATGGTAGGGTGAGGTCAATGACAGAGAAATGCCAGCCAAGAGCCCTGGTTACAGTCCTGGTACTTTGTAGCTGCATCGGTGGAACCTTTGGCCTCCACCATCCTGACGGTGGAGGAAGAAGATTCATATATGCTTCTCTGTGCCTCAGCCTAGAATTGATGTTTCTGTCTTAGTGGCTGAAACAAACAAACAGGGAGAGGGACCACATCATATTTAACGTGGGGTGGGGAGGACGGTGCTTCTTCTACAACATTTTAATGCAGCACGCTTGCTCGGACATGTTATAGCAGCAGTGATCAGATCATCTCTGTCTTACCTAAGACTCTGAACTATTCTCCAAGCATCTTAACAGGCAGGCTTCGGGTGCTCAGGTGAAAAGTAGTCTACCCCGCTTGGGGGTGAGTTCTATGGAAAGGTTCATGAGCAATTCTGCTGCTGAGTTTAATTTTGTTTTCTGTTGTGTTGTTGTAACCTAATTTACTGCCCCACGGGAACTAGCAGCTCAGTGCAGGTCTGACATAGCTTGTTGTCCCTGAAAGTATATTGATTAATAGCTGGAATCAAAGGTAGTATGTATGTGTGTTTGTTTTATGGTGGCACATGTCTATAATCTAGCACTCAGGAGGCTGCACATACTCGTCCTATGAGTGTGAGGCCAGCCCGGACTGCAGAGAAAGACCATCGCAAAGAAAACAGAAAACTGTCCATATTTAATATTAAAATAATGATAGCAGCCAGGCAGTGGTGGCGAATGCACTCAGTGAGGCAGAGGCAAGCAGATCTCTGTGAGTTTGAGGCCACCCTGGTTTATAGACAATTCCAGGATAGCCAGGGCTACACAGGGAAACCCTGTCATGAAAAATCAAAGCAAAACAAACAAACAAAAACATCATAAAACTAAAGAGTAGTGGTATCAATGAGATGGTTCACCAGGTAAAGGTGGAAGTAGAGAAGTGACTCCATGAAGTCTTCTCTGATCTCCATATGCGCACATGCTCCCCTCATGCAAGAAATAAAATATTTTAAACTGAAGCATGAGACATGCACAGAGGGGCATCACCAGACTCAGGGATTAAAGATAAAGAATGGAGATACAGTCAGGAGGGAAATGTGTTGGGGGTTGAGAGTAATTGAGGGGGAAGATACCAAAACCTGTTGTACACGTATCTGAAATTCTCAGAATTAAAAAACAAAACAAAAGAAAAGAAAAAAAAACAAGACATCACCAAATTGTTGAAAACTGACTCAAGCTTCCTCTTGGACTCGTGTTTCTTTGCAGTTGGCGGATGCCAGGGAGATGCCCTGTGTTCATCTCATCAGTCCCATCATACCATTGTGTGACAAGGCTCGCGAATGAACGTCAGTGCCTGTGTTGGGACAGTTAGGAACCCTTCACCAGGTCTTAGACTTGCTTTGGGGACATTCTGCCATTCACTGAAACGGCAGGAGAATAAAGGAAGTACAGATGAGTTCAAAGCAGTCTTACCTCCCAGAGTGGTTCTCACTGCTTTGTTTCATTTGGCCAGCTGTTTGGGGACACACGAGGCTCTCCAGCCAGGAGGCCCTCCCCAGCTCTGATTTCCCCTCGAAACAACACAGTATCACCCTTAGAATGTGGCAAATGTAAATTCCTGTTTGGGGAACAGCAATTGGTCTTTGAATTAAAAGCTGAATAAACCAGTACTGGGTTAGCAAGGCTGTGTTGTCTTGCATCCCTTCCCTGAAATCTGCTGTAGTCTTTTCTGATGTCATTATCTCACTCTGTCTAGCATTTGACTGCAAAGGAATGCCTTTTCTACACTTTAATCGGATCTTTTTTAGTTGTATGTAATGAAAACTTCTTTTCAACATTTTATCAACACAGAACACAAAATCCCAGTATCAAGTTTGTTTGTTTTTTGATTTTTTTTTCCTTTTTTTGGGGAGGGGCATCTCTGGTAAAATGTTATGCCTTAGAGATTTTCCAGATTTGAGGTGTCCAAAATACTACTTCATAACTGTCATGAACATGCAGAGGGGCACTCAGTATATTCACACAAGTTAGAATTCTCTTCTTTAGGCCAGGCAGTGGTGGTGCACGTCTTTAATTCCAACACTTGGGAGGCAGAGGCAGGCAGATCTCTGAGTTCGAGGCCAGCCTGGCCTACAAAATAAGTTCTAGGACAGCCATATCTAAGCAGTTAAACCCTATCTCAAAAGACTAAAATATAAGCAAACAAACAAACAAAAAACAAAATATAAAGAATGCTGACTATTCTAGAGGACCAGGGTTCCATTCCTGTGGCTTATACCCTCTGTAACTCCAGTTCCAAGCAAAATGACACCCTCTTCTGGTCTTGTGGGCTCTACATGCTCATGGTGCACAGACATAAGCAGATAAAACAACTGCACACATAGAGTTAAAAATATTCTACTTTTACTTATGTGTATATGTGTGTAGGTGCCCACAGACATCAGAGGCCAGAGCTGACTGATCCCACGGAGCTGGAATTATACATGGCTGTGAGCCAATAAATGTGGATGCTAGGAATCAAACTTGGGCCCTCTACAAAAGAAGTATGAGCTCTTAGATGCTGGGCCATCTCTTTAGCCCCATGAAAACCACCACCTCACCAGCCAGTACTGTTGGGTCATCTCTTTCCAGCCCCTAGAATAAATCTTTTAAAAATGTTTTTTGATAACTGAAGTCAATATATTTTTAATTAAATCTCACCACCTTTAAATATATTTTTGAGGGGCTGGAGAGATGACTCAATGGTTAAGAGCACTGGCCACTCTTCCAGAGGTCCTGAGTTCAATTCCCAGCACCCACATGGCAGCTCACAGTTGTCTATAGGATCTGATATTCTCTTCTGAGATGCAGATGTACATGCAAACAGAACATAAATAAAAGACATAAATGAATGATTTTTCAAAAAAAAAATTTTTTTTTTTTGTTAGAGATACAGGACCTTAATGTACAACCCTTACTGGCTTGAAACTTGTTATTTAGCTCAGGCTGGCCTCAAAGACACAAACACTTGCCTGCATTTGCCTCCCGAGTGCTGGGATTAAAGCTTTTGGACACCAAACGTGGCCCCCTTTCTATTTTCATTCAGTCAGGGACTCAAGCCTAGTGCTGCCCATCTTTAGGGTGGGTCTTCCCTCAATGAACACAATCTAGAGACAAAATCTAGATAATCATCACAGATATGCCCAGATGTTTCTTTTCAGTGATTCTAGATCCTGTAAAGTTGGTAATATTAACATTATCCCATCCTTTGTCAACACCCAAGTACATCACTTTTAGGCAGTAGCCTCAGTCACCTAGCCTGATAAGCCCACGGCTGCTTCATAATGCAAAATGAATTCAGTCCAATTTCAAAAGTTTCCATGACTGGGCGTGGTGGTGCACGCCTAGACAGGCAGATCTTTGTTGGTTCAAGGCTATCCTGGAACTGTAGAGGAACAATTCTACAGTGAGTTCTAGGACAGCTAGGCCTAAACAGAGAAACTCTGTCTTGAAAAACTGTTTTGTTTTGTTTTAAAAAGAAAAAAAGTTGCTATGGTCTTTGACAATTTCAACATTGTTTAAAAGTCCAAAGTCTTGGGTCTGTGCAATGGCTCAATGGGTAAAAGCACTTTGTTATGCAAACCTGAGTTTGATCCCTTAGAAGCCGTGACAGAAGGAGAGCTGTCCTCTGACCTCCACATCTGCACCATGGCATGCGCATGTACCAACGCTCAAACACACATATTATACATGAAATATTTCTTACACCCAAAGTCTCTTCTGACACTCAAGGCACTCTCTTAAATATACCTATGCAATTACAAACAAGTTACATTCTTCCAGTATACAATGGCACAGAGCAAACGTTCCCATTCCAAAGTAGAGAACTGAGGCACAGCAAGGAATGCTGGGACCAAAGTAAGGCTGAAAGCCTGCAGGGTAAATGACACTCTGCAGCAGCGTGTATAGGATCTGGAGCTTCTGGTGGAATCATCTGGGCACCAAAGGGCGTAAGTAGCCCAGCCCGCCAACTCCGCTCCTTTGGCACACCCAGCCTCTCGAGCCAGCTGCGCTGCATCATGCGGCTCTCCTTGGCAAATGCCCCACTGTTCTGGCACCTCCATTATCTTGGGGTCTTCACTGCAACTTGGGTTTCATCTTTATGGTTTCATACAATGGCCATGCAAAGCCTCCTTGCAGGAATTGCAGCTTTGCCACACTTTGCCTGACCTCAACAGCGCTCTGAAAGCCTGGTCCAAGATTCTCATGATCCCCTTAATGTTGCGTCTCTCAGAGCTGCATAACCAGCACCATTTGGGTGACACTGTAGTCAGCTTAAGTGGAACCTGACCCTTTTGGATCACGGTTTACTGTAGCCACTTCCTTAGGTAGTTGCTTTCCAAGAACAGGGCGGCAGCATTATCAGTTCAGGAGCTCTCCTTTCAAGTGAATTTACATTTTTCAGATTTCGATGGGTAAGGTCTTACTTTTTTTTTCCAACAGTCACAACCTCTTTTTCTGTAACTTTAAACATACTTGAGCTCTTTTTCCAGGAAAAACGACACACTTTCTATATCTCCCTGCCCGACTTGTGTTTTTCGCTGTAGTTTTGAACAAGAATGGTGAGCAATTGGCTAGGTGGTGGTGCACGCCTTTAATCCCAGCATTCAGGAGGCAGAGGCCGGCAGACCGCTGCTAGTTTGAGGACAGCCTGATCTACAGAGGGAGTTCCAGGACAGGCTCCAAAGCTACAGAGAAACCCCCGGGGGCGGGGGCCGGGGGGGGGGGGGGGGGGGGGGAAGCATGGTGAACAATTGAACCATTGCCAATCAGTGCCTGCACGCTGCTACTCTGCCTTGAATTTCCTCCATCATACAAAGTAGTTCATCACCCCATGAACCTCACCTGAGTTTCTATGACAGGGCTGGAACGCAGCAAGATTCCTTGTATTCACACAAACGATCTCTAGCCCAGTTCCCAATGGAGTCCTTGTTCCCCACCCTGAAACTTCATGAACCAGGCCTCTATTTTCTACATTTCTCCTGATCCTCTGGCCCATTAAGTTCTGTTTGCAGAATTCAAGGGCTTGTCTAGTCCACATTTAAACTCTTCCTTATTCATCCTTCAAACCAGACACAAAGGTCTAGCACCCACATGGCCAAGTTTATCATGGCGGCAGTCCCATTTCTCTATACCAGTTTTGTATTTGTCTTGTTGCTGTGATAAAAATACCTAACGAAAGCAACTTAAAGAAAGGAGTTTATTTTGGTTTAAAGTTCCAAGAAGTTCAGTCCAGCCTGTCAGAGATGGCAGGGCAGCAGAAGCAGGAGATACCTGTTCACCTCTTGTTTATATTTGGGAAGCAGAAAGCAGTTAGCGTTTTTTTGTTTGTTTGTTTGTTTGTTTGTTTTCCCAGCATTCCACCGTACATCCCTAGCTGTCCTGGAACTCACAGAGATCTGTCCACCTCTTAAGTGCTGGGATTAAAGGCATGCGCTCCCACTGTTGGCGTTCAGGCATTACACTGGCCTGCTCCCTGGCACCTGGCAGGTCGTGCATGTCCGTACTTCAGCAAATACCTAGCCAGCCCCAGGGGCCGACCACGGAACACCACTACTGTAATCTGAGCATGCGCTGTGTGATTGTGTAAGCCTCTGTACGCATGCCCTAAAGACCCGTTAAAAACAAGTGCTGCCCATTCCTGCTCTCTCTTCTCCCACGTCCCTTTCCGAGACAGGCTTCCACGACTCCCCTTTTCACTCCTTATCAATAAACTTCCATGCGGGTTTGTCGTACATTATGGTTCAGTCTCACCGGCTGCTAAACTACCACATTGGTACCATAACTCGACATCCACACCCAGCTGAATGGTTTTACCTTTTGGTTTTATGAGATCGTCTCTCTCATCCAACCCAGAATGGCCCTGAACTTGCATTGCAGCCAAGGTTGTCTCCATCCAGTCTCCCAAGTGTTGGTATTACGGGTGTGTACAGCCATTCCTGGTTTTACTCTCCAATATTTTAAAATATATATATGTATTTCAGATACAGTGAACTCTTTTTTTAAAAAAAAAAATAGCCCAGCTACACAGAAGACAGAAGAAAGAGGATGGAAAGTTTGAGGACATCCTGCACTACATAGCAAATGCAAGACCAATTTAAACTTCACAGGGAAACTCTCAAAAACCCAAGGACTGAATATTTACCTAGCATTGGCAAGACCTTGGGCTCCTCCTCTGGCAGTACAAAACGAGAGCTAAAAGCTGAATGAACAATGATAATAAAACTACAATTTGAACACATTTCTTTCTCACTTGTTTTTTGTCACCTATAAGTAGAACTTAATATCAAAGAATACACCTACCAATATTTACTTCCTAACTAGCTTTATTTCTAACTGAATCCAACTGGAATCCGTTTCCAGTGATAATTACTTATGGTAGGACAACAAAAATGGCCTCAGCAGGCCAAGATGTTTAACAAGGCTTTAAGTACCCAATAGAATAGACCTATATGAAAAAGTTCTGGTTCAAAGAATATAAAGCCAATATATTAAAGTCATCATGGAGTCTTTTCTAGCTGATTTTGGGCCAGTTAAACCTAATAAAGATCATGAAGATAGAAAAGCAACTTGAAGTCAAGCACCGCAAACACCCTGGGTTCCATTAATAGTAATGAAATAAAATTTATGT